ACACTGTCCCAGGACACTGCACCATAATAAGATATGCTCTCATGATGCCACTGTTGTATGTTCAGGTGAGACTTTGGACTGATGGACGTAATTTACATGTGTCCTGTATGCCTTCTTTCTGTCAACCCACAGTTCAGAACCTCTGTATATTTCTGTGGTCCTCAGGGTTCTTGGGTGCTTCCCCTATCATGCCTTGAGCCATCCAGGGAAGGCCAGGAAGTAATAGAGAGCAGCCCCACAACCTCTCATTCATTCTACTGAAAGTCTGCATTTAGACAGGTGCTGTTCTAACAACTTCACTTCTGCACCAGGCACGCAGATCTCAAAAGGGCTGTAATTTCTTTTATGCTACTAGAGGTATGCACTTAATAGTGTTGAGAATTCCTTCCATGTCTTTCTCATATACATAAAAGGAGAGATGGCCAGAGCAGACAGGCAGGAACATGGAGAAATGAATTTATTTTCTGTGCTGCCAGTGTGTATGTTAATCCCTGGCACTTTGGTTGATTATAAAACTGGAAGACGCACCATACCTCCATAAGGTCAAAGGAGGCACAAGTTACAAATTTAAGTTATTTAAAAAAAAAAAAAGAAAAAGTTGTCAGAAGCCTGGATTACTTTAGTTGTGAATACCAGGTAACATTATTTAAAAACTCCATACAGTCATAGCTGCTGGGAGCTCTAAATACAGCTTATTGCCACCCACTACAAAAGTGATGATTAGACCTAGCAAACACAACGTTTTTCCTGAGGGCACAAATCAAAAGGGGTAAACTGAACATGGGACAGAGCTGCTGGCAACACCCTGTCACAACACAAGCCTGGAAAGGACTGCAGTTCACGTCCATTTCCCACTCAAAGGGCTGCAGTCTGTTTCAAGACTGCCTTGGACACTGTCCCACTGGCCATGGCAATCTAGAGTGTTGTCTGGGGAGCTGCGGCAGCCAAATGGACCAGTTAAGGTATCAGTAACTGACAGGTCTTGGCTCCTGCCTCCATCTTGCAAGTCACAGCTCAGAGCAGAAATCCAGGTCGCATTAGGGGCAGTATGATGCAAGGAGCAGGCAAGTGTAAGAAGTAACAGTGTGAGAAGATAGAGGGACTGCATGGGGCTGGAAGTAGGACACCACAGTCTTACCCATGCTGCACTTAAATTATTGTGAATATGCTGATGGGCATGGCCTGTTGTGTTCAGAGCCTTATGCTGTGGCATGGATGAAAGTTGAGAATTGCACACTGCAGTTGCTGCTTACCAGGTAATGTGAGATGACCAGCTACTCAGAGAGTGCTACTAGTAGCTCGTACTCTGAATTTCTCACGTACTCCAAATGCAACGCAATGCTGGAACTGCCTCTGCAAGAAAAGATGTTGCAAAGTAGCAGCAGTACTGGAGGGGAGGAGAGAGCAGAGCAGAGGAGGAGAGACTGAACTTAAAGAGTCAAAAGACTTTTAGTCATGTAGTGCACACTACAACATGGACAATAAAGACTTTTTTTTCAGAGCTGGCTTACGAGCATCGTGGTCTGACATGCTTCCCAGTAATGTGAGACATTGTGAGTGCTAGTTCCTTGCAGCTAGATCTCTCCTACAATTTTCAATGCAATAACACACAAAAAAAATGTTACTGCTAATATGTTTTCTTCCCACAGGCTATGGTGGATACAGGCTGGCAAATGGCAGTACCACGTGTTCAGGGAGAGTAGAGCTTCTTCATGGAGGCATGTGGGGAACCCTGTGTGACTACTTGTGGGATTTACCAGCTGCCAATGCCCTCTGCCAGCAGCTGGACTGTGGAGTTGCCCTACTGATACCAGGTGGACAGTCCTTTGGGAAAGGAAATGGATCTGTCTGGAATGGCACATTCAGCTGCAAGAAGAATGGCTCACACCTGAGAGACTGTCCTGTGAGTGTGCTAGGTCATGACGAATGCCCTGCTGGAAAAGATGCTCGTGTGGTATGTTCAGGTGAGCAGTGGAAGGGTCTAAGAGGAGAACTGAAAAACTCCTTCTCTGAGGAAAAATATGGACCCAAAATCCAGAGGGTGTCTGTGGAGCCAAGCTCCGTCTTTTGTCTGCTGCTACAGGCATTTCCAGGAGTCGAGACTGCACTTCACCTGTACCACAAAGCTGGTCTCTGTGAAATGCTCCTAGTGTCAGGGAATAGCAAGAACAGGGCTGCTCCACAAGGTAGGATGAGCCTAAGGTAGTCAGAGGGTGAGGACAACACAGGCACAATCCAAAGCATCTTCACAGAGGGCAGAGGAAGGTACTGATAAGAAGGTTGATGTTCAGTCCCAGACAAGCCAAAGTAATCAATCAGATGTAGGGTCCAGCTGGAGAGTACAGTCAGGAGTAGCAGGAGACAAGAATGGAGACAGTTACACCAGTCACATAGTTGAGGCAAGGACTGAAGGCCTGGTCCAGGTTTAAGTGAGGCCTTGGACCAGTAGCCTGAGGGTGCATAAGCTGGAGGCCCTAGGTGAGGCTGGTCAGAACAATTAAGGTCTATTGGTTCACCCAGACCCCTGAAACCTAGTGCCCCGAGTTTAAAAATTTCAAAGGGGACCAGATCCTGATTTCTAGTCATTCTTCTCAGTAAAATAGGGTGGACTGAATTCTAGGTATGAGTATGGAAGTTCCAGTGGCCCAGTGGAGTCATTTTTGCTACTGAATGCTAAGGAAAACTCATTCCCATTTTCCAGTCACTTTCAGGTCATGCCCATGAGCAGTTATGAACATGACACCTCACTACTCACTTTCTCTTATATTCAGGGTGCCCAGGGGGCAGGTTGGTGAATGGCACCACATGCTCTGGCAGAGTGGAGATCCGCCATGGAGACACGTGGGGAAGACTCTGCCGCTCCCACTGGAATTTGCAAGCTGCCAGCGTTCTCTGTCATCAGCTGAACTGTGGCTATGCAAAGTCAATCCAGACAGGAGACCATTTTGTGGACGGGAATGGGCCTGTATGGAGAGATGCTTTTCACTGTGAAGGGACAGAGTCCTGCCTGCAGGATTGTGCTCAAGTGACTTTGGGCAATCCAACCTGTTCAGCCAGGGAAGCAGCCACTGTTATTTGCTCAGGTAAGTCAGTAGTGGCCTTTTATGGGTAGTGCAACTTCAGACCAAAGCAGTGTTGATCAGATCTCACTCTGCCAAGCAAGTCTGGTGTGTCAGCCTGTCTTTAATGCCCTTTCCTTTCCCCTACCCCTCCAACCTTGGTTGCAGCATAGAAACTTCATTTAGTAGAGGGATTCACATTGTTTAGATATGACTGACTCCTCACAGGATCTAGTCTTTGAGCTGGGGGGGTCTTTCTCACTTCCCATTGCAGACCCTTGTGTGCATGAAAGTAAACAAAGCCTGAACAGAGGCTGTCTCTAACCAGTGGTGAGAATTATTTTTTTACCAACATAGAAATTTGTCTTCCATCTCTCTCCTGCATGTTATTTCTACTGCAGTTAAGAGCAGTAGATGTTATTCAATACATGTTCCAACTCTCTTGAGCCCAGGTCTTGCTGAATCACTCAGACTCTCAGGTGGCGAGAGCCGCTGTGATGGGCGAGTTGAGATCTCACTCCATGGCATGTGGAGCAGAGTCCTGGATGATGACTGGGACATTAAGGATGCTCATGTGGTATGCAGACAGCTCCAATGTGGAATTGCCAAGAAAGCCTATTACCTCCCAAGGTCTGAGCGAGGCATGGGTCTTGTTGCCTTAAGAAGTGTCCAGTGTGCTGGAAATGAGACTCAGCTGATGCTCTGTAAGACCTCCCATTCTCAGAGAGTGTCAACAGGAGTTGCTGAAGACGTCGGTGTGATTTGCTCGGGTGAGTTACTGTGTGAAAGGTACAGAATGCTTCCTAGGGTTGTCTCTAGCCCACCTTGTGCTGTGGTCTCACCAGATCTTAAATAGTCATGGGTCTGAGCTTGTGATATGCACCAGCTTGTGTAATCTAAGGGACAAATTATAGTTAAGGAAGCAAGTGTAAATTGCATAATGCTTTCATCTGAATTTCTTAAAGAATTTATCTCGCAGAATTGAAAAGAAATAATGGAATACAGAAGCCATAAGAACACCAATTTGGCCATGACTGCCACACATTCTGACTGTCACTTGGGAATCAAACAGGTTTTATTTTGTGACATTTCTATATTTATAGATACCTGCAGCCTTTCTAAAGTAAATTAGAACTGTTTCTACTTTGCTTTTATTTTGTAACCCATCTGTAACAGAAACTGTCTGTCTCTGTCTAACTATATGAGTTTAGATAGAAAACAGCTTCTCCAGATTTATCAGATAAGGTGATCTCTGCATATACTTAGTATGACTAGACACTCCTTCTTGTTTGCAACATCTCACAGAAATTATTCAAACATTTACCTGATGCAGGAGTAGGCCTTTCCCTTTATGCAGTTTTAGCATCACAGGAGTTCTGCCCAAGAAACCATAACAGAAGAACTAGAATATGACAAGAACATGATGCCTTAAAAGTGCTTTAAACCTACAGCCATAATGCTGACCTGTGCATTACCATATTGCATGTTGACAGCTGCGTTGTCTTCCTGCAGGTAGCAGACAGATCAGGTTGGTGAATGGAACAAAGCGCTGTGCTGGGAGAGTAGAGCTTTATCATGATGGCATCTGGGGCACCATCTGTGATGATAACTGGGATCTATCAGATGCTAATGTTGCCTGCAAACAGCTGGGATGTGGACATGCCATCAAGGCATTTGTCTCTGCTCATTATGGCGAAGGCTCGGGACAGATCTGGCTGGATGATGTGAACTGCACTGGGGCTGAATCTGATCTCTGGGCATGTCCTTCTAGGGCATGGGGCCAGCACAACTGCCAACACAAAGAGGATGCTGGAGTCCTGTGCTCAGGTGTGTTTAGAAAATCCTTTTCTGAGCCTGTGGGTTGAAAGGGGAGGGTTACATGAAGGGGAAGCAGGGAATAGTGGAGACTTGCTTGGACAGCCTCTTGCTCTCTTGACTACAAGCACAGTTGGTCAGCACATCACCTTGGTCCCACCAAGATGCAAAGGGTCTACAGAAGTCCTTATTTTGCATTAGCACACACACAAAAGATGTGTGGTGGGGTGGGATATTTGGAGGGTAAATTGGACGGTTTCCATAAAGATTTCCACAGCAAGGGGCTGTGGGTGTTCCTTGTGCGGGAGGAGGTCATCAACTGCCATGTGCCTGTTACAGTCAGTTACAGCTGGCTCTGAAACCAACAGAAACAACCCACTGTGCACCAAAGCATCAACCAATCAGGGGAGAATATGGTGGCTCTGCTCATGCATATTTAAGACAGAGTGGCAGCTGCAAGAGAGAGGAGAAATGAAGGAAAAGTGGAAAAAGGCACTGCTGGGGATGTGACTGGAGACATTGTTTCCATGCCAGGGGATGTATGCCTCTGAGAGGCCTGTGGCCTGTGGATACGCCACACTGGAACAGAAGGGACTGCAGACTGTGGAGGACCCACGGTGGAGCAGGAACAAACCCTGAAGAGGACTGCAGCCTGTGGACAGCAGTTGGTCAGCCACGTTACACCAAGTACAAATCCTGAAGGGACTGCAACCTTTCGAGAACCCACAATGGAGCAAATACAACCCCTGAAGGGACTGCAGCCTGTGAAGCATCCATGCTGGAGTAGAGGAAAATTAATAAAAACCAAGGAGCAGCAGAAAAAACCCACAACCTCCTGCACTGCCACCCTCACTGAAGGAATTGGGAGGGAAAACAAAGGAAGTTGGGATTAATGGAGTGGATCAAAGATGTTTACCTAGGTGTTTGTTTAATTGTTAATGTTTTTGATTTTGCCCTCATTACCTAAAGCAATAATTAAGATTATGTTAGGTGCAAAAAATAAAATCAAGTTAAATTTCCCAAGTGGAAACTGTTTTGCCCATGACAGCAGACAGTAAATGTGGGAGACACTGGCAACACTAGTACCTGGCATGCCGTGGGACTGGAATAATTGTAGTGATTTTGAAGCTCCAGAGAAGCCTTGATTCTGATATTGGAAATTTATCTTGTTGTGGTGTCGAGTAAATGGTACACCCATTTTTGGGGCAGGAGGTGGGGCAGGAGAAGGGTACGAGCTATGTGTAAACAGGTGGGAAATGGAGAGTGTGACAGACCTTGTTGGAGGGGAATGTGATTGGCAAGAACTCCAGTGGCCTGGAGCCTGGCTATTTTTGTCTCCAGGAATATCAGCCCAGGAGATGCAAAGGGGTTATGTTGCCTGTGAAACCCCAAAAGAGTGGTGTGTTTCTTTGCTGTGGGTACACCAGAGCCTACCATGTGCTCACAGCAGGGCTTCAAGAGGCACTGGGACAGCTTAGCAGAGCTGGGGAATCTAGTTGATGGTCTCTGTCAGTGTAATGGTCTGGTAAATTGATGTTAATTAGTGCTCAGCACAAAAGGGAGGATTCTGGTCAGAAGTTAGCAGCTAGTAGCACTGAAACGGTCAAATGGCAAGCTTCAGGCTGCTTGTGGGAGCACCTACAGCTTAGATTGACTGACCTGGCGGGGCACCCTGACACCTTGGGAGGGGAAACCAGGGGATTATGATTAATTAAAAGATTAGTCCATTCAGGCCGCTGTAGTTACAGTAATTAAGAAGCCCTACAGAAAAGGGTACACTGTTCCCCAGGCTGTGACCACTCACTGGGTCTTTACTCTGAGTGTAAATTAATGGAGAAATGTGGAGAAACTTACAGTCACTGCTCCAGAGGCAGGCCTCTGCAGTGGTTAGGGCACTGCTGGGACACCAGAGCAGGAGAGATACAGCTGAAAGCTTGAGACAGCAGGACTTTGGGGAGTTCGGGGCATAAGCTACTTGTAAAGACTGTACTGCACAACGTAGGAGGCCTTTGGGATCAGTTTATGGAGAGATACATTGAGCAGTGCTGATCCTACAAAAAAAATACTCCTTTGAAAGGACTGGGAAGAAGGGGATAATCAACTGCAGTTTCCTGGACTGCTGGAGTGTGGTTACAGGCAAAGGGAGAGGGACTCTGGAAAGCTTGTGATCACTAATGCTTGAAATCTCCAACAGCTAGGCACAATTACTAATGCCCCTCTGGTACAACCTAGTGGGATGCCCTGTTGATCAAGAGGTGACCTATGTATACGATTCTGGAGTGAGGATGCCAGAAGAAGAGTGCAAGCCTAGCAGTGCAGACAAGGATGCTGCTGAGGATCATGCAGTTTGGTCAACCTCACGAAAACTACACACTGACATGTAAGGTTGTGTCTGAAAGAAAAGGGAGACAATACAAGAGACTGGGAGGAAAAGCCCTTCATAGACCTAGCATTGTGAGCACAGGAGAGAGGTGAGAGTTTATCCAAACAATTCCCTTCTGCCAGCCCCACTTCTGGACCACATACTGCTCTGACAACTGATTTGAACTTACTGCACTGGGGGGTTTTCCCCTGGCCTGACAGTGGATGAAGTTAACCAAAGTTATTAGACTGTCCAGATGTAGGTGGCCAGGCACCCTTGCCTCAACAATGTTGTGTGCTGGTCAATACCTAATGATAGCGGTGCTCAGTGCACCTTATTGTCCCCTCTGTGTAGCAGTAGATAAACAAATAGTTCTTGGAGTAACTGGAGGAGAAACACGCCCAGCTCTGGAGGAAGGGAACCTAAGCTTGAATAGATGGGTTTGGTACACCTTATTTGCTGCCACTGACCCTACTGCCCCTGTCATCCTTCACATTGACTTTCTTGACCACCGGAGATAGATGGATGGATGGGACAGAAAGGCTTCAGATTTTTTGGAGTAGGCAGTGTGACTTGCACAGGTGAGAACCAGCTATGGGACTACCCAGGACTCTCTAATCACCCAAACATTGCTGAATTTGCTTAAATAGACACAGGTGTCAGTCCTTTGGCAATCCAAGTAATTTGCTAAAAGCAGTATCAAACTGACCAAAGGGCCACCAATAAAATCCCCAAAATAATTGTTTCCCTTGAAAAACAAGGGGTGGTCTTAAACACACAATCACCTTACAACAGTCCTGCTTGACCTGTATGGAGGTCTGCTGGAGAATGATGGTTTACAGTAGACTTCAGAGCTCTGAATGAAGTCACACCCCCATTACCTGTTAGAGTTCCAGATACGTTGCAGCTCTTGTATGAGCTAGAAGCTAAAGCATATATCTGGTATGCTATAACTGATATTGCAAATGCTTTTTTTTCCAATTCCACTGGTCAAAGAACCAAGACCTCAGTTTGCCTTCACCTGGAGTGGTGTGCAGTACATCTGGAACCACTGTCCCAAGGGTGGAAACACAGCCCTTGCTATCTGCCATGGCATCATCCACCAATATTTAAAGCAACAGAATTCCAAAGAACTTTCCTCTACCTTGATGATGTATTTGACTGGAGGAACAACTCCAGAAGTACTAAGTAAAGGACTGTAGGTAATCATTACCTATTACCATTTGCCATGAAGCACTCCGAAGTAAAAAGGCCCTCTCAAGATATACAGGTTTTAGGCATGCAAAATGGATGCAGATACATACCAGCTGACCAAATTGCTTGGATAACCACCATGGACCTTCCCACAATAAACAAGAACCCGGGCTTTCTTGGGCATTACTGGATTTTGATGTATGCACACCCCTGGTGATAGCCAATTGACCAAACCCACATATCAAGTGACTTGAAATAAGCCTCATTTTGAGTGGGAAGAGGAACACCAGCAAGCTTTGGAGATGATCAGCAGGAGACAGTCCATGCCATGGCATTAGGACCAATATGGGTAGGTAGCAATGTAAAAAAATTGTTATATACACATGCAGGAAAGAAAAGCATCATATGGAGTCTGCGGCACTGAGCATCTCAAGAAATGAGAGACACTGTTGGCACTCTAGTGTCAGAGACACAAAGGAGCAGAAAAAAACTACTCCTCTCTAGAGCAAGAAGTCCTAGCTGCATATGCAGAGGGTGTCTGAGTGCCACTGAAGTGAGTGCAGAGCAGTCACTGTGGTTATGCCCTAGACTAGCTATGCTGAATTTTAAGTTCAAGGATTCAAAACCACTGAGGGAAGAGCAACCACAACTTCATGGCAAAAATGGCTATTGGCCCTTTGCCAATCTGCACATATTGGTTCAAGCTCCAGACCAGGATTAGTTGAATTTACTAAGTCAATGGCCAGCAATCAATAGTATGAGGAAGACCAAACACCTCTGACTGTCGAAGCCGTAGCATATGATGAATTAAGTACTGAAAATAAACAACAGAGTTTGTTTACTGATGGAACCTGTAAAATCACAGCAGGAAACGGGAGGTGGAAATCCTTGAAATACCTCTACGGGAGAAGCTGCCATCTGGAAGGAGACTTGCAGAAGTCTGAAAGGCCTTGAAAACAGCCTTGGAACATACTCAGGAGCATCAACAGACACATGTATACAGACTCCTGGATGGTGAATAGTGTGGTAAGGAAATGGCTTGAAGAATGAAATTGTGATAACTGGCAGCAGTGAGGAAAAACATTTTGAGCAGAAGTATGGAAAGTAGTACCACAGCTGCTTGAAGAAAGACCTGCTTAGTATGTCACTCTAATAATGCACATATCCCAAATTCAAAGGCAACTCAAGAAGACAAACACAGCAACCAAGCTGACCAGCTGGCTCAACCTGTCAGTAGAGATGTGGGATGAAAGCATAGAGAAAACCTTTTTTTAGATAGATGAGCCTAGGAAACTGCTGAGCATGCTGTGAGGGATTGAGGACAGAGAAGCCTGCTTAGGCTTGTCCTGGGAAGACATAATGCAAGCAATTAGGCAGTGTGATGTCTGTGGAATAACACAACATACAGCGTGAACAATGAAACAGTAGGCACAGTGAGAGAAATGAATGTCTGGAGATGCCTGGCAAATGGATTATATAGACCAACCCCTTCTGCCCCAGCAACACTGGCAGATGCTATGTTCTCATAGTGCTAGAGTATCACGAGGGTGGCTAGAAGCTTTCCCCACTCAGACAGCAAACACAGGTCGCACCCTAGAAGGAATAAACAAACATCTGTTGGCACAGAATGCCGTGTAGGCAGGAATCAGACAACGTAAGTCATTATAAAAGTACAACCATTCAAGAATGAGTAGAGAGGGTTTGGGTTGGTTTGGGAAGCCTGCAACAGCTGAAATCCCTAAGAAAGTGGTCTCTATTGTTTGAAGAGCAGGGTTTACCTACTGGTTGGTCTTTGGAAAAAGAACAATGAAATGTGTGCCTTTACATAAAGTAAAGAGAAGACAGTAATCTTACTTTACCTCATAAACAATGTTCTTGTTCATGTGTTTTGCAGGGACAAGGTCTGAATCTTGTAATAAATATATGTTGAGATTGGTATGATGTTAACTCCTATAATGTGGTTCCCAGAATGAAAGGTAGCATTTTTATTGACTATATGCACACATTGTTAGAATGTAAATACCTATTGTCTGGGACTAAGGGTAGAGTTTATAATGCATGTATTTTATGACTATGATGATGTAGAGTTTATAATGAATGTATGTTCAAACACTTCTTAAATAGGTGTTTCACAGAGGTGAGGGGTGAAATATATTGGCTACAACTGGCAGGGTTTCAGTCACTGGAGGCTGCAGGGGTGCCCTGCGCTTCTGCAGGGGAGCTATTCCAGCTGGCTCTGAAATTGTTTGTAAACAAGTCACTGCACACCAAAACTTCAACAAATCAGAGGAGCACATGGCCCCTGCGCTTCAACATACTAAAGAAACATGCCTGCAGCTGTGGGGGTGGCCATCACTGTTGTTTGTTGATGTAGATGCTGGTGAATGCTGGCTAAGCAGAGAGGATCACTGTATGACTTTTGGGTTTAAGTGTCTGTCACTTTTAGAGTGGTTTCCTCTGGCACTTTCTCATTCAGAGTGAACAGGACTGTTAGCAGATTCTGGGTTTCGCTCATCACAGCCAAGTTCCTAGCAGAATCAGGCCCCTCTAATCCCATTTTTATGTCTTCACTTCTAGAGTTCCTGGCTCTGAGGCTGGTGAATGGCAATGACTGTGCTGGACGGCTAGAAGTTTTCTACAATGGCACATGGGGGAGCATTTGCTCCAATCATATGTCTCAACTCACTGCAATAACTGTATGCAAACAGCTGAACTGTGGAGATGGTGGGGAAATTGCAGGAGACTTCAAATATGGCAGAGGTTCTGGGCCCACATGGCTGGACCACATTGAGTGTACTGAGCAACATAGCTCTCTCTGGCAATGTCAGTCAGACCCCTGGGATCCTCAGTCATGTGATAACCGAGCAGAAGAGACCCATATTTCTTGCACTGGTAATTAGAAATGCATCTGTACAGGACTGCCCAGACATATATGCATAACCCTATGCATGCATATATGGACATTGTAGTAATTACCTCACGTTCATTTGTTATCTGGTATATATTATTTCTAGTTTCATGCAAATGGCACAAACATTTTTCTTTGTCTATATTCTTGATGTAAATGAGTGAATTAAAATTACATGAGTGTCACCGAGTGCGGTTACCCAGTGGAAATCCCAAGGAAGTCCCTGATAGGATGGTGCCATTGCATATTTTTAAAGCAAAAATCTATGATACAAAGTCAGTCTGTGAGATCTGAGTTAGAATCAGACTTCTCAAGAAGTCTAGAGGCATGTATGTCTTTCTACACATCTGGAGGCATATCAGTGCATATCTACATGTACGCATGTGCATGCACATAACCATGGACAAGTGTATGAATTAGTTCAGTTCTAAAGGTCCATTTCTAATGCCTGCTCTTAGGACAGTATTTCATACCTGTGGGTTCTCACTATAATGTAAATTAATTGTAGATGACATTCAGATCTCCTGAAAGGGATTGCAGCTGCCTCACACAAGAAAGAAAGCACAGTCATCAGAAAGATTATTTAATTCACAGCAATAGTCAAACAGTGATCCACTAAGTACTAAATAGGCCATATATATATAATAGGAAAAAATTATTTTGATTATTAATTTTCAGGCATTTTATACTCCCTCACTCTGTTCAGAGAATAATAAAATTATTTACTTCAGTATTTAAATTCTGCAGAAAGAAAAGAGGCAACGTCTCCAGCCACATTTGCTGAGTGTCCAAACTCTACAAGTTGTTCAGGTACCTCTACCTCTTTCTTTCTCTTTATTTGTCCCTACAGACCTTCCTGCTGTTTCAGCAATACACAAGATTTCTGTGTTTTGCAGACAGGGAGAAGTTACGAGTCGTAGGAGGAGAGAATGGATGTTCAGGCAGAGTGGAGATTTGGTACCAAGGTTCTTGGGGAACAGTCTGTGATGATTCCTGGGACGTGGCAGATGCTAATGTTGTATGCAGGCAGCTGGGTTGTGGATCTGCTGTGTCTGCTCTGAGTGAAGCTGCCTTTGGTGAAGGGACTGGTCCCATCTGGTTGGAGAAGGTGCACTGTAAAGGAACAGAGCTGTCTCTTTGGGACTGTCCTGCCAAGCCCTTGTTCAGCAAAAACTGTGATCATAAGGAAGATGCTGCTGTGAATTGCTCCGGTTAGTGACTGGTCCTTTGGTTCATTACACAGATCTGGGAAGGAGGCGGATAGAGGAATATTATGTCAGCTGTACATCACAGTGACTAGCCCCTTCACAATTTTGACTGCAGAAACCTCACAAATTATGTGAAGATGTTCTCCCTATTTTTCACACTTGCCTCTTCCTTAATCTGGACTCGCCTTCCTTTTGCAGGTATGACAGACACCACAGCATCGCCCACTAGAGCAGGTAAAACATTCCTTCTTCCCTCTTTCCTTGTCCCATCAAATGAGGATTTAATGTCCCTGCCACTGCACAGCAGGTAAATCAGCAGTATATTCCAGCTCATCAGAAAGCATCTCCTGCAGCCTTTTGTAAAGGAGAGCCGAGTGGCACTATCCCCAGCTGCTGAATTCTAGCTGGTTGAGCAAGACCAACAATTGGGCAGCAGGTGACCTGCCTCACCCAGCTAGCATGGGCACAACAGGAGGCTACAGAGGAGCAGCCCTTTGGGTCACCTGATTCTCTACCTGTTGGTTCTTCATTTCCATTCAGATCCTCCCCGCCGCCCTGCAACAGACACTATAAGAATTTCAACACCTGTCATCCTCTGCATTGTCCTGGGGGCTCTTCTCTGCCTGGTCCTTGCCATTCTTGCTGGACAGATCCAAAGTGCCAGGGCACAGCAGAGAGGTAGGTGGCAGTGAAAGAGCCCAGCAGTGCTTATCCTCAGCACCTCTCGGTGACTTTCTGGGTACCAACCAGGCCATGTAGACCCCTTTAGGTCACTTCTCCTTTTCATGACCCCAGCCTGGGTATGAGCAGAGACTGTGTGACTGATCATTGCCTTTTACTTTCAGGTTCCAGACTATCCTATAACCCTTTCTCTGAGGCTGTCTATGAAGAGATCAGCTATAACCTGATGAGGGAAAAGCAGGGCACGACTGGCTTCTCAGGTCTGTGTGTCTTGCTCTTTTCAAGGGAAAATTCTACCTGGTGGCCCAGATCCCAGTCTGATACTTTGCAGTTCCCAAATCTACTGGGAAACTGAAAATTCCTAGATTTGAGGAGAGGGGATTCCAGCCCACTGGACTCTGCCAATTCCTCTCCTAGGGACAATTCACTTTATGCTGTCCTCACTGCAGCCATAGATCAGTATAGGTCAAACAAACAAACAAACCCCAACAAATAATAATAAAAAAGCTTTCGCTGCAATTATTTAAAGCAGGAGCAAATAAAGGAATAATTTGTATCTCCCTCCCAGTAGCTATGTGTCTCTGTAGGCTTCCTCCTGTTGAATCCTTTTCTCCCTTCGTGGCTTGCCTCCCGCATGAGCCATGAGAGGTGTTATGGGGTCCCTGAGGGCTTCTTGGCTATTCCACTGTAAGCACTTTACCTTGCAGGAGTAATAATGACTGCCCAAGAATCTGCTTGACTTGGATGTTATTACTGTAGCCTACTCTTTTCCTCGTGATGCAGTCTTAGCAGCTAAGGAGAGTTTAATCTGATATCACACTCTTT